AAGATAAGCAGACAGACAGAAAAACAAGTGTGTGTGTATGTGTGAGCCATAATACTTCCACAATAGCGGTGTATGTATGTGATCTATATACTTTTCTAAATACATTGAAAAATTATTTTTTGAAAAACAAATTTGTTTTCATCATCAATTTTTGAAAAATTTTCAAATCAGTTGCTTTCGGAATATTGTAATATTAAGTTCGCCATTTTAGAATACTTAGGTAGTTGGAATAAAACGACGAAACAAACGAACCAAACCAAGAAAAAGATCTGGAAAAAGTACTTTGCAAAAACAAAAATTAAATAATTATTAAATTCAAAATCCAGTAAAAAAATAATAAAAAAAATATCCAAAAATACAATAAACAATACCAAACAAGTGTTATTTTAAATAAAAAAACTGAAATTATTGAAGAAAAAAAAAACAATTTGTGAAATTGACATTATTTTTTAATAATCTGAATTTTTGTATTTAGTGTTTATTAATTTTAATAAAATTTAATTTTTTATTTATTTTATCAAACCCAAAAGGAATTTTTAAACCGCATTAAACGAATTAATTTATAAAAACCAAAACCAAACCACACACATACACACAAAAATGGAGTACGTACAATTCAAAAACGGTTCACCACACTACTACAGGGAACAACCCGACCTCAACGAATGTATTCAATATCAAGTAAGCATCGAAGTTTTTATATAAAAACATTAAAAAAAACCTGCAATATATGACAATGAATTAAATTGAAATAGAATCCTGTAATATTTAAAAAAATCATTTTATGCCTATAATAAAAATCAGTTCAAATAACATTAAAAACCAATAGTGGGAGATAAGTTTAATTTCAATTTTTTAACGATTTCCATATTCATTGAAAATTTCAAATATGAATGTACATTTCGTATTGGGTTTTCCTTTGTACAATTTATATTATGTTCGAGAACCTGCAAGAATGCACAACTTTTTACTACGTTAACAATTCTTCCTTTCTGATATCGAAAAATAGAAATTAGTAAATTCTTGCAGTTCGAGAAGGGAAAAATATTTGAAAAATTTTGCCAATTTATTGGGTTATCGTATTACATTTTTTACTTTTATACGTTAATTTAGAAACACATTTTTGTTTCTAAAACCAAATTGACTGCCGTGGACTAGGTTTCCATTCATGTATATACATATGTATTAAAAATTGAAATCTTATGGTCATTTTGTCTTTCGTTAAATTGGAATAAACCACAGGACTTATGTCGTAAACAATGAATGACGTCTTGTGTTAGCGTCAAAAAGATATCAAAACAGCGATAATGGATTCAAAGAAAATTGTAATAAAAAAGAAAAGTTCGATATATTCCAAAATATTGATAAATCGTCCACCTTTTAAAATAATTGTTTTGTAGTTGTAGCAGTCCACCTTTCAAAATAATTGTTTTTTGTTTGTAGTTTTTAGTGATTAAAGAAAAGTCCTTATTTTGTATGGCGGGCATGATAACTCCTCTGTCTGGCTCTCGCATGAACTAGGCTTATTGACAATTGGCGGATTTTATTTTATTCATTATCTTTTTTTAATTCGCTTATTTTTGACCACAAACTAAGTTAAAAAATAAAGAAACTCTTCATTCCCAAAGAAACGTGTTAAAATTGGAATGGATTTTTAGTTTTTGAGTTATCGTGCCGTCATTCGTAAAAAGACTGATTCGAAAAAAATGCGTTTAAAGTTTGAGAATCGCTCTTGCCGCCACTTGATGCTGACACAATAAATGGGCTATATCTTCAAGAGTTCTTGAGATTTTCACTTGAAATTTGGTAGGGACATTCTTGAATTAGTGCAGATTCAAAAGTTCACTGTATTAAATTTGAAAGAAATCATAGGTCTTATTTCTTTTCGCCATTAAGATTAAAAGAATATTTGTTATTACTTCTAAAATAAAATATTTTTTATAAATAGGAATACTTTTATAAAGAATGCTTACCACTTTGCTTCAAATTTGAGTTTTCAACAACTCGAATTCAAATCCTTGTCTTCTGAAAAATGTTTCATATACATTTCAATTGGGATACGCTTTATTTTCTTATAAAGCCAAGCATGATTAAAATTATGGATCTGTAATGAAAAATATGTTTTTAAAAAAATAGATATACATTTTAATAAAAATCAAAGCTCATACCTTCAAAATAAAGCTGTGAACAAATTTTATTATTGTAGAACAGAATGTCTTCTGCCATTTCCATTGATTTGAAATCCATACATGTTGCAAGCCGCTCTTGCTAAAAATAAAAATACAATATAAATATTATTTATATAAAAAAACATTCATAGGTCTCTCATATACAGACATTTAATTTTATTAAAATTATTTTAATTAAAATTAAATTAAAAACATTTAAATTAAAATTAAATAAAGATGATATTCCGGTTTACAATTTTTTAAATCTTTTAAATTTATTTTAATTCATATTATTAGTTTCTTAGTAAATTTTATTCGATTGTGGCATTTGAATCTCAGCTCACTACAAACCATGGCGATTTAGTATTTCGCATTAATGACTGTCTTTCAATGTCAAACATTAGCATTCTATCCAGTTTACACTGCAATAAAACTAATCTAATCACTCAAAACTAATGAACAGATATTCCATTTTTTCAATGAAAAAAATCACCCAGTAATCAATGATTGATATCCTTTGAAAATTCCAATCAAATGCCAAATTTTTTGCAATGGAACAATTTGTTCATTGGCCAAATAAACATACACATTTCAAATCAGTAACAAAAAAAAAATACAATAACAAAACAATTCAATTCTCTCTTGGTCTAATATACAAAAAAAATATATAATTTATATGATACAGATGGATATGCAAAAATCTATTCATGCCTACATACATATACATATGTTTGTATAAATATATTGATGATATATGCCAAATTATATACACAAAAATCTTTTGTATAGATATTTGCTTGTATATACATACATGCATATATATCAAGGAAATATGGTCATCATCCATATAAAATAAGCTAACAAACCTAGAATCTTCTCTTTACTCTCAGATATTTTTTTCCGTTCGTTTTGTTTTGCGGCAAAACAAAATGTGGTGTAATTTATACTTTATTTTTAGAATAAACACAAATACAAAGACAAGCTAAACAAATCACTACGACGACGATGATGATGATGCTGATAATAACTGAATTGGAAAAACAAATTATTTTTTAATTTTCAAACAAAAAAACGAGAATAACAATACATTGAAACAATTTTATGTTTTGCACCCTCCCCTCTCTCCTCCCATATACATATATTTTGTGGTATTTGGAAAATAAAGGCCACAACAAATTAATTATAACCAAAATAAAATGTGGTAAATTTTTCTATATTGTATATATAAAAAATCTATTGTTTCACGCCTCAAAGCTTTAAAATAATAAACAACGTGAAAAACAACAACAACAACATTAATCCATGATGATAAACCCAGATGAACAAATTGTACGCCATAACCATAGGAATTTTTAAACAAATTATCACTGGCCATCATCAGCATCCACCGCCTATTAGCAGAATACCATACAAAAATATTGCTGAAACATATTTTGTTGTTGGCCAACTGACAAGGGATTTAAAACATTTGTCGTTTTGTTGATTTCAATCCATCATCATGATTTCCCTTTTGGTTGAAAAGTGAAATCATACCTAAATAGAAAATTATGTTTGCCAAAATATTTAAAAAAGGGAAAATATTTGGCAAAATCTGGCAGTTAAAATTATTTACATAAAGACAAAATTGTATTATTTATATGAGGCATATTTTTAATTAAAATTAATTAATTAAATCAACATTTTTCTAAGGCGTAAAACAATGAACTTTTGTCAACAAGTTGCATAAATTGTTAGTTGTTGTTATTGTTTATGAACTAAAAAATATGCTTGAGTTCATTTAAAACCCTTTACAACTACTATGTTAGGGGATAAAATGGACCAAGAACATTATTTTTGTCTGGTCTTCTAGTCATCATAATTTTCTTTCAAACCAAAAAGCACCTCTTTTTTAAATAGCCGGTCAACAGTCCACTACTTTTGTGTTGTTCAAAAAAGCTTTTAGTGCATGAGAGAAGAATGGTAGACCATAGAGATATACAAAATGTTTATAGGGGGTCTTCGTATTATAAGTCCCCTGAAAATGAAAGTACAGTGTGGTGTGTAGGGTATTCTATGATCGGCCAGTTCTAAAATACTTGAAAATATTACATTGATCCCCCAAGGGAAGAAGAAAAACAAGAAAAAATGTAATTTAACATTTCCAAAAGCAATTCTGGTCAGCAATTTGGGTTTTGTTTATTTGTTTTTTCTTTTTCATAAAAATTTCTCAAGATTTACAATTTTTTTTTAAATAAAGAAACTATATCCAGACTCAGACATGTAAACATTACACATTAGAGCTGGCAAACAAAGACAATAAAATACCAAACTATCAACTAATAAAAATAAAATTTAACGTAAATATGGTCAAGATGAGGTGGGGGTTTTGGGGGTGAAGACGTGTCATATATATAAAAAGAATAATTATTATCAACATATGATGTGTAGTCTAACTTATTCATATATAAACGAAAACGTGTAAGCTATGTAACCGCCGTTTCTTCGTTCGATTCGATTTTAAAACAATCAAAAAGGAAATACATGAGAAGAAAATAAAATACATCTTGAAATATCAAGGTTAAACAATTAGATGGTATGGCAATTAAAAATAATTTGTTGTTTGTCATTCTTTGGGTTTATAAATAAATGCAATTGTTATTGTGGTAGTAGATGTAGTGGCTGTCGTCTTAGCCAAAAAGTAATTAGAAGGTGAGTGGGATAGAATAATAAAATAAAATGTAATTGTCTGTTTTGTGGAAAAGGTGTGGCGGCAGGTTGAATAACTAACATTAAATTCTAAATTCTTTTAATGTCATGCTGTCTTGCCAATATTTTTTTAAGTAAAAATTTGTTTTCTTATTTAGCCAAACAGGCTGTGTCATCTAGAATGGAAGCAATCAATTGTTTGTCACACAGAGCACCATTCACTTCATCTTCATCCCATTGCAATTGGACTTTGTGTAGGCGTGGTTCCTTCTTTTTAATAATGCGCAAAATACCTCGTGTCTGTACCAAATCCACAGTGCCCGCGAATTCAGCCTGATCCAATGGATGTATATTACGTTTATTACATACACGTCTGTAGACTTCGTGTAAACGACCCATTGTAATGTCCTTGTTCTTTTCATTACGTAACATTAGCATTAACGAACATAACATTATTTTTTGTTGCAATGGGAAAGACTCTTCAATGTCTTCTTGGAGATTTTGAGAGGCACCATAGACCTTGTTTAAGACGGCCGCAACTTGGGTGACTTGCACGGGTTTAAGTACTTCTAAGGAAAGAAAAAAAAGAAAACATTTTGTAAAGGAAATATTTTCTATTATTTTTAATTGATCCTACCTTCCTTAGGTGGTTCCTGTGTAGCTGCAGATTCATTACCATCACCCACAATATTATTGAGATTTTTCAGCTGAACTTCTTTCTCTCCTGCCTTTTTCTGTTGCTCGGCAATTTCCACAACTCTGCGTCCAATATCCAATGCCCTACGTACATCTCCGCTGACAGCACTTACTTTGGCAGCCAACAGTTGCAGAGTAACTGGAGGAAAGATATCCAAAACTTCTGCTTCCTCCAATCGTGACTTGAAAATATCAACAATTTGTTGTTTAGAATAGGGTGGGAAATGCATATGTTTTGGTTTCAATTCACAGCGGGCATTCAAACGCAACAGGGTCCTTTCTGTTAAATCCAAACTATTGGCAATGCCCACCAGCAGGATACGTGCATCTGGCATAGCTGGCCATTCGAAAATCGTATACAATACAGATTGTTTGGAACTACACAGCTGATCAATCTCATCGAGGACAATGAGTAGCATTCGTGATGATGTTTTAATATGCTCTTGGATGGCCATAAGATGATCTCTTTCGGTACGGCCATGGGGTTTGAGATTCAATTCGGCACATAGTTTCTTATACACTCCACCAATGGAGGCAATAGATGTGCAGTTGACATAGACCTTCTGTATGCGATGTGTAAATTCGGGTGAGCGCAGTAGCAGTGAAAGGCAGGCAGTTTTTCCAGTACCCGGTTGTCCTGATACATACAAGCTACCGGATTTTTTATTCTCTAAATGTTCTCTAAAGAAAGCTGTCAACTCGGCCAATTGTTCCTCACGCCCGGGAAGTTTTTGACACTCAGCACTATTCAAGACACGGCGGGCATTTTGATATTTATTACGAGGTGCAGGTGATTTTTTTGGTGTTACCTCCTTTTGTGATGCCACCTTCTTTTTGTGCGACTTTTGTGTTGGACCATCTTCTGTGGAGGCATCAGATAAATCTTCAGGTTTTTCATCCAGACTTAAACGTTCCAAAACACGAGATTTTCTAGGAGTTATATCCTTTTGCGATGCCACTTTCTTTTTGTGGGATTTTTGTGCCTCCTCCGTGGAGGCATCTGATAAATCTCCTGGCTTGTCATCAATACTTAAACGATCCAATAGACGAGAGGGACTTATTACATGGTTAGGTATTGCCTTGGAGGTATGTCTAGGTTGTTTGGGTGGTGAAGCTTCATTCAGTTGTTCGACAGTTTTACCACATTCCTCTTCTGCCTGGAGTCGTTTAAGTAGCTCCCTTTTCTTGGAAGCTGGCATTGGTTTGAGTGAATTTTTACTTCTTGGTGTCTTTGGTGCTTCATCCTCCACATCCACCGTGTCCAGTGATTTGCTGGTCTTGGCAACTGATCTTTTCCTATGGGCAGCCATTTGATTAATACGATCACAATTCTCTTCGTTGCTACAATTCGAGGAACGCTCTTCTTCCTCTTCGTCACTGTGTATGGAATGAGTACTTTGTCTATGACCCCATATGGTTGACCTGCGGGTAGTGGTTGTTGTTGTTGCAGGCAGCGTAGGCGTTGCAGATTTAATACCAATGCTGCTTAAACGAGTTGATCGTCGAACTGCCATTTAGAATAACATTAACAAGAATTTAGCAAGTGTTAGGTTTGTGTTGTTGTAGTTTTAGTCAAATTTGGAAATTAGGAAATTTTAGTGTACCCAAGAACTGATAAAACAAAAACTGGTAACGTAGCCACAACGAGATAAAAGACAAAGAAAAAAGGTCAGCGATATGCAGGTAACACACAAAAAAGCGCGGTAAACAAATGACAAATGTCATTTGGTTGCATTGCCAGCTGTTTGAGAGTAACAGAGTTGCTAAATGGAGTAGTAACAAGAATGCGGGAATGGTGAGAGAGAAACATAGGCTGCTGTAGTTAGTGCACGAGTAACGTAATGAGATTTAATTAAAAAATTAAATACAAAAAGAAATGGGCAAAAAATATAAAAATTAATAAAATAATATATTATTTAGGACATTATTTTGTTGTTTAGAATGACAATTAGGAAATATTTCATTGAAACAGTACGGTAATTAGAGATATATTGTCAGCAGTGTGGGAAGGGAGGCTTTTTATATGTTTATTCAAGCCAGGTGAGAGGCAGAGAAGTATTGGTAACTCCGTTTTTATTGTCAGTTAAAATACATATCATGTAGTGGCCAGGCCACATTTCAATTTGCTTGGGAAAAGTACCAGATAACAAATTTCTTCAGAGTCGGGAATAGAAAACAGTAAATAAAATTAAATAGAATTATTATTGATTTTTATTTGATTTTTTGTATTTGATTGCATTTTAAATAATACAATTCTGGCTTTTTGGGATTACTATTTAAAATAAAATCATTTTGTCTTATTAAATATATATCAAAAGAGAATGAAAATATTATTTGCAAACTGGACACAATTTCAACGAAAATAACTTACGTAATAATTTATAAATATTATTTTAATTTTTCTGCTATCTTGAAATACTCAAGATCTCGTTATATGATGTGGGTGCTGACACTCGCAACAGAACAGAGAACAGGGAAAACACAACGTATATTAAACAAATGAAATAATAGAAAAATGACCAACAAGCAAAAAATACACAAGTAAACACCTACTGGTAAAATATATTAACACAGACACAGAATAGAAATACAATGTATATAGGAGAATGAAAAAGTTTTTTTCCAATTGCCAAAAATTAAAATTTTTCTCGATTTTTCCTCTCATGAAATGAGAACCATTTGTTTGGGTACATATACATATATTTTTTGAAAATTCTTGTGGGATGTTTAATATTCTTACTCACAAATACCATAACACATTTTCTTTTTCGATCTAGAAAAACGGTATGTTTATATAATTGCCACACAAACACATTTTCACAAAAAGAAAAATCTGAAATGTTTATTTGTCTACTGGAAAATTAATTACTTTTTATTTTGCAAATGTGCGTGTGCAACAAAATAGATCCATAAATATTTTGCCATATTGTTAGCATTAATTATATGAACAAATATACATATTTTGTTCAAGGTTTCTTTTTTTGTTCGTATAAATAATAATTTATTTATTTTCGTTTTGCTTTAATTTCCTTGCAGCCATACCGAACAACTCCACTTGTTTTGCCTGGCGCTAAAGTGAAAAAAGATGCTCCCACCACAGAATCCTACCTGAGACACTACCCCAATCCAGCTGTACGTGCTCGTCCCCATCAAGACTTCCATGACAGTGTAATGAAACAACGTGTGGCCGATACCATGTTGCACAAAGTTGTTGGCCAAGATGCTGATACCGGCAAAGTAAGTTCGGCATTTTTTTTAGGTCTGAAAAACGGACATTCTCCTTTAAAATGTTACGACGTTTTTTTATATTTGAAGTGTAAATTTTTGGGGAATATAGGGATTATATTATTATTGTCTTTATAATATCCCTGTAGGAATAGTTTGAGATTCTAAAAAAACACAATGAAGTAAAGTTATAGCTTACTCCCAGCCCTCGTCTAACATTTAATAGTTTTCCCAAATATTTCTACACTTAATTAAAATTGGGATTTTAATATTTAATTTGTATTAGTTTGAGGCGACAGACATTTAACAATACAGGATATATAAGTTCATGGCACAATGAATAGGTAGTCCATTTAGCGCAGATGATGTCTTGATTTACTGTCAAAGTGTATAATTTCTACTTGAATTCGATGTGCAGTGTTGCCAACCATTTGAAATATTGTATGAAAAAATTTGACAGATAATTGAGACAAAAACAAAGGTTTTCGTTGGTATACATCACCTTATTATTGCATCATGTATAAGTTCATGGCACAATAAATGGTAGTCCATTTAGCACAGCTGAGGATTTGATGAATTCGATTTGCAATGTTGCCAACCAAGGAAACATTTGACATTTGCCAAGGAAACATTTGACAGATGGTCGAGACGACAACAAAGGTTTTTGTTGTGATACATCACCTTATTATTGCATCATGGGTAGTCCATTTAAAGCAGCTGATGACTCGATTAACTTCCAAAGTGCGTAATATATACTAGAATTCGATGTGCAATGTTGCCAACCATGTGAAATATTATAAGGAAAAATTTGACAGATGATCAAGGCAATAATAAATAATAAAACGTGTCATTTTGTAGGGATATGTAAGTCGGCTTTCGAAAAGTCGTGTTTTGAGCATGAACAAATTTTGTTTAAAGTAAACATTACATACGTTTACATGAAATGTATTTTATTAAAATGGGTTATTTTAATTCTCATTTAAACGCATAGGCGACACATCGGACTTACAAATTTATATTCCTATCTTATATAATATATATCCCTAACTTTTTATAATTTTATTAATTTTTGTCACTTTCCTGAAGGTTTTCCACAAACAATTCAATTCCCCCATTGGTTTGTACTCGGAGAACAACATTGAAAACACCATCCGCCAGACAGTTCCGTAAGTATTATTTGATTAATATCTATTCTGAGTTAAGTTACTAACCTTAGTATGACCTTAGGGCTGACAATAATAATAACAATTAAACAAAAAATTAAAAAGAAGATATACAAAACAACCGCTTCAAAATAAAAATATTAGGTTAATTTGTTTATAGAATATTAAAAACAAAATGTATATATAAAATAACCACCTGAAAAAGTGCAAACAACACAAAATAATAATCTGTACTATCCATTTAAAACTAAACAAGGCTACACTGATTATTAAAAAAAGCAGAACACAATACTAAACATTTTTTGGATATTTTACTAATTTGTTTTTCTATTTATTTTTATTATTTCTTTATAATTAAAAAAAAAAAAACACTAAATATTGTGAGAATTGCTGTGTGCACGTTCAACTGTAGTCGAATTTTGAAACAATACAAAACAACTGTTGAATAATTGATGTTGAATTAATTAAATTTTTAATTTATTTTCTGTGTCAACTCTCTACCACATCTCTATTTAATGTTTGTTGTAGTGTCAATACACTAAGGAAGAGTGCTTTATATCGTCCTTTGCCATCAAAACTAGACGGGTAAACTTTTTTAAAACCAAATAAAACAAAATCACAATTTTCTATTTTTATTATCATTTTAAACAAATTAATTCAAAGTAATTTATTTTTCTCTTCACTTGCTCATGCCCAAAATTTCAAAATTATAACATTTTGAAAAAAATTTAATTTTGATCCTGCTAAAAACAACAACTAGACATAACGTCATTGAAATCAAGTTATCTCCTGTAATATATCCTTCAAGCAGTAATCAAAAATGTCTCCTGTAATATATCCTCAATAAAATTATTTCTTTTGGAATATCCACATAGCCGTTATAAAAGCTTGCTTCAACAACACACGTTTCCCACATAGGCACACACACATATGTATAATTTGTGTTTTTAATGTATTTGTTAATAACACGATAACAGTACATTTATTAAAACCGAATAATTTATTTACAACTTTCATAGTAATCCTTAGATACAATTTTAAGCAACTAATTTGAAATGTTGCCAGGTTGCTTTATGAGTTGCCAACACAAATAGTCGTATGACCCTTTTAGGGTAAAATTCATAAAGCTGCATGGCCACATATCTAGTTACCAATTTCCACAACATTAAAACAAACTATTTGTTCCAATTCCACACTGTTCCACAAAGTGCAAACGCCTCTACACTGTCGATGATTGTTCCATTAAACCTATTAATGAGGTCGCCAAGAAAGATCAGCTGTTTTTTGTTTAGTGTAAACATGCGTTATTGAAATTGAATAGAAAAATAAAGCCAAGATGGATTTCGCGATATTGTTATGTTATCATAACATCACCCCTCAGAAAAGTAGTTATTTAATGTGACGAATTATAAAACAACAATAGTCCGAATGGCAATGAAAAGCCCAACAAAACATCAATATTTAATTAAATTAAAAAAATTGGTCAATAACATAAGAAAATTTTTTGGGGCTAGGACAGAATAATCGTTTTATATAAAGTTTTTTAAATAAATTATCTAAATCGAGCTTCGAAAGAATTTGGCCACACTTTTTCCAAAGCAGTGTGACAACGATATCCGTTTTTTATTAAAATTCTTTTTTCCTCTGTTTCATTAAAAGTTTTATTTCAAATATTGTTTTTAGTGTATATATAAATTTTAGCTATTTTTGTTATTTCTTCCAAATCTAACCAAAAATTCTTTTGAAACTTTTGAATAACTTTACTAAATTTATGGTTTTGATTTTTTGGAATAACCCAAAATTAATTAATTTTGGTTAAACAATATTAAAAATTAACACAATTGATTAAAAACAAGCCAAACAAAAACACACCAAAGCAATGGAATTGGCAACACTATGACGGTGTTTCAATTCCATTCCATTTCAATGGGTGTTGTGTGTTTCCATATGTTTTTGTTTACAGCTAAAATACAAGTCTGTCACTGTTACTTTATTTTTGTTTTACTGTTGACAGTTGAAGTTTTATTTTGAATTAACACCAAACACTACCCAACAAACTATTTTGTAGAAAGTTTGTTTATTTTTGATGTTTACATTAGCAAATTTACAAATTGAAAAATAACGTTTAATATTTGTTTTACAAACAACTAATGTAAACATGATTTGGACCCATATCCCCCCACCAACCAACCAAACCAAAACAAGAAACAAAACAAACAAAAAGAAAACCAAATTTTTTAATAGTTGTTAGAATTATATAAGGACAAAATATTGTTAAGAACGATTAGCTGCACGATTAATGTTAGAATTTTCATCGATCTATCTTTCCTGGAACAAAAATATAAAATACTGGAGCAACAAAAGCAGAAAGAATTGAATGAACTACAACAGCGGAAACAGCGTCAAAAGCAGCTAGAACAACTGTATCATCATTGAGAAGAAGAATAAAACACTTTTGTGGAAGAAAAACATATTTCTGCGAATGTTAGAGAAAGAAAATGTGATAGAGAAAAAGTCTAACTCAAGCTCCCAATTTAACATTTTGTTTTCCTACAAACTAGTTGAATTTTCAAATTTACCCAAGTTCCTTCCACCACTCGCCCTTCAAATTCCACTCCACAAACCCCACCTATAGAGATTATGTCCTTTAACAAAAAATAACTAGTTTTCCCAGGTGTTTTAACTCCTCCTCCCCCACCTCAACACACACAGCAAACACTCCCATTGCAATTACCCGCAAAAGCTTTTGTGGCTAACCTAAAAAAAGAAATATCGAAATTTCCTTTTGGATCCCCCAAAGAAATCATTAATTTTTATATTAAATCCCCCACCACATATCCAAATGCTTCATTATTACTAATCTATAAAAAACCAAAAGCATAATCTAGCAATTTAATATTTTTAGTAGTTCTAATGCCATCTATAATTTGATGATGCTACTAGCTTCAAATGAAAACATAAACAAATTTTATAGCCATTAAGTTTTAATTGGAATTTGTCATTTTGCAAACTGTCATTGTTTTTTGCCAAATTTAACTTTAAAACCACAACAACAAAGAAAACATCGATTTTTTTGAAACTAATTCTAACTTATTTTGTGCACATCCTGTTTTTTCTCTCTCTTACTCTCTACGCTATCTTAAAAAATACAAAAACTAAAAAAATAAAACAAAAAATATTAAAAAAATAAAAACCAAAACGTCAAATATCCACCATCATAAAAAAATTAAACTCGGATCTCACATAAACCACAACCAACAACAACAACAAAAAAATGCTGCAACGATCACGAACAAATACGAAAAACAAAATCGTTTACCCCCCCAAACCCAATAAAAAAAATCAAACGACAAAAAAATTCCAAAAATTTAGTTACAAGCCAACAGTACTCTATGACCCATCAAAGAGTGAAACCTTTAAGGCCGTCCAGGAAGCGGGCTACGATCATGCTGACTATAGCGAAGAAGTAACGGTGCCAGTCCAACCTAAGGTTTTCCAACCCCATAAAACCGTTCCAGGAAAGGTAAGATCACAGTGTCACATTGTGATTGAAGCTCTTCTCAAATCAAAACAGAAAAGTGCCAACATAGAAATCATCTCTCGTGTGTTATGCGAGCTAGCGCTCTCTTTCTCTATCTCTCTCAAATCAGCTCTTGTCATATTTATCAGCATTTATTACTCGTTCGTCAGCTAGATTGTCCTGCGTCAAATCAAAAACCGAAATCAAATCAACAACAACAAAAAATATCATTGTCACTGTTTTGTTTTTCCGAACCCAAAACCCCGTCCTTACATTTTTGTTTTGTTTTTTGCTCTGTGTTTAATTTTGAATTTCTTTTTGTTTTTCGTTTTTATTCACTCACTGATCGCTCAGCTAAGCTCGCCGCTCATATTTATTTTTTTGAGAAACAATAAAAACATAATGTATAATCAAACAGCTGTAAATGTTGCCATATCAGCATATAAATATCAAATATGTAGTGGTTGTTGTCTTGCGCTTCGTGTGTAGCCGACATAGGTTATTAACAGTAACACAACTGTCAAACTATAGAGTTACCCATGTAAAGTATTACCATTACTTAATTGTGGGTAGGTGTCTATAGTTTGCAATCATTTTGTAAAATTCCATTTGACATTCATACTATAATTTATGAAAATTAACAAAATAATAGTTTTACTAATAGAAATATTACAAAATATTTTTATTACACTGATTATTTTTAAATATATAAAAAGAAAACATTAACACTTATACGTTTATTTGAAGTTTAATCTTATCACAACAAGTCACTGAAAAGTTAACTAGTGTCATTTTAAGAATTGTCATTGTACTAGTATGTACAAATTATTTCAGAAATACAGTTGGAAAATCTTAAAGACGACTAGATTTGTATATCGAGATACCAAATCCCAGGTGTTTAGACTAGCATTAAAATTATTTTTTTTGTCAGCTGTTATTTGTTTACATATACATACAAATGTCAGTGGTTGCATAATTTCTGAGACAATTTTTCAACCAATATTTTCAAAAATTAATAAAAACGTTTGATGTTTCAAATTATTTTAATGTCCACTATAAGTCATGGCATAATTACAGAAGTTAGTCTCACTTGAGAATTTGAGAATCATGGCAAACCTTTTTAATTTGGAACTCATCTATCAATTTTAAATAATATGAAAAATAAATTCCATAAAATTGTATGTATGTCGATTGGCATATTTTCAATAAAGTAAACAAAATATATTTTCTAAAGCTGAATATTATTCTCAAGATTTAACTATGATTGTTACAACTTATATTTATAAGTTTTAGAGGCAGGGATCTTCAAAATATTTTTAAATATATATTATTTAGCAATTTTCCACTGAACAAATGATATGCGTACATTTCGGAAAGGAAGATATTTTCATTTAAATTTTGAAAGCTGAATACTGTTAAAGGCAAATTTAAGAAAAATTTGGAAACATATGACTACATGAGACTACCTTGTATAATTATGCCATGACTGTTAAATTTAAATTTTTAAACAGTTGCCTTTTTTATAGGGAAGTGTTTTGAAGAATTCTTTTAGAAGAAGTGATTAATTTGTGGATGAAAAAACAGGGTTGTATTAGAATATATCTTGATCTAGCATAGAATTTCAAGATAATAAGTGGATTTAATTTTATGTGGTAGCTTTGAAATTATTAATATATAAATTTGACAGTCAGCTGGTCTATATTTCACTGATTTCAAAAATTCTGTTGCAATTGTTCAATGCTCTCCAATTTGTTTGACAACTATATTGAATTTTAATATATTTTGAAACGTGTAATATATTTTGAAACGTGAAAAGTGTAGCCATTTGTTACTTTTAGAAGAGATGCATTTTCTAGTTCAAAAGCAGAGTTGTATTTGAAATTTTAACGATTTTCCATGTAAATCGAATTTAATATAATATCAGTGTAATAAAATTATTTAATTTTGATTTTAATTATTCTGACTATTAAAATCAAAATTGATACAAATGTTCAAAACTAACAATATCAATGGCTAAAACTAACCTCATTTTAGTTAAAAAATCATAAAACATATATATGTAAACATTATCATTTGAAGAACGTCATTGCGAAATGAAAAGATATTAATTTCAAATGTACACTTTTTTATTTTACAACAGAAACTCTTACAATCAGCGCCCGTTTCCCACACGTCGTACCATGTAAGTATTTAGTTTTAAAAAAGTTCAATTTATAAATTTATAATGTTTCTACTTATTATATATGTTTAATAATAAAAACTACATAAAACACATACGATGTTAATGTAGCATTATCCACACATATCAATTGCAAATATTGGCAACACTGCCAGCACTGTCAACATTAATTCTCATATGTCTCTCTTCTCTTTCTCTCTCTCTTTATTTCAACAGGTGGTAAATTCACACGATGAGACCATTCGTCAAAGTGGATCCTTCAATCGTTTGATGCACAGTGTTTTGGGACAATCAACATATTAATTATTTTTTTTGAAAATATATTTTATTATTTAATAAATGTAATTAACAAAAAAAAACCAAAATAGTTACCAACATCAACAACGATTACTAAACCCAAATATACATATATATTTTCAAAAAAACCAAACAAATAAGCTCAACAACACCTAAACTTATTGTAATATGTACCATCAAATGCAGAAGAAGATATAATAGTTTTCAAAAATTACGACTTGTAATTATTTAATTAAATCATAGAAAAACAAAACCTTTAATGGGAACAATTTTAACCTTTGTATTAATAATTAAAAACCAAAAACAAAAAATATTACAACATTAAAACACCAAACACTAACACAGCCGATAAGAATTCAACTATTCATTTCTAAATTATCGATTATCGATCGAACAATTTGTGTGTCGATTTCATGTTCACAATTTGACATGCATTTTGTTCAATTCCCTTATAAGAAAAATACAACAAACAAAAAACAAAACAACTTATTATTTAATTTAAATTATTTTAATTTCATTAATGAGTAACGATTAAAACAAAAAACAAACATCGACAACAAAATTTTCTCTTTATCTGTGTTGAACAATTTTTTTCTATTTTTAAATTTGAAAATAAAATTAACACACCTAAAAAAAACAACAAAAAAACTAAAAAAATTGTTTTTTATTTATAAATTTAGAGGGGAATCTCAAATTGGAATTTTGGGAAATAATTTATGGGTTCGTCCTGAAACAAAATTTCAATAGGTATTTTTTATTTCCAGATTATGACACTTACTTTTTTGTCTTACTGTAATCTAATTTCGAATATGTGTTTACTTTCATTTTTGTTAATTACGAAATACCTGCCACTTTGTATTTGTTTTTACAGATCGAAAACTAATTGGCATTGCCGTTTATCCATTACACATGTCATAGCAATTTGCAACTGACCCAATAATAAACTTAAAAATACTCTCATTGTCCTATATAAAACTTGTTTTCAATACAACACATTCATTCATGAAAAATGTGTAGCAGTATGTAATATAGCTTCCAGTCGTAACCTGAGGACATACATACATAACATCCAATTGGAATTTTTATTATTGTAAATAACTTTATTTGCAATACAAATATGTATATAAAAAGAGAACAACGAACGGGAGGGAATTTCTGCAGACGAGCTGGATATGACGGGTCTTTATAAACGATCAGAAGGGGGAGTGGGTTCTTTGAAACGAATTGTATGTCAAATAAGAAGTCTTACAAATGATTTGTAGGGTCCTTATAGACCACATGAAAAGAGTATTCTTAAAGGAAATGGAACCTATAGAGCTGAAGCCAGGAGTTCTTATAAACTATCTGACGATCTGAAGCAAGATAGGATTTCCAATATGTAATTCTTATTTTTTAATAAATGTTTTCCAAAACAAGGGTAGATATTTAAAAACATGTTTCTACTTGTCATTAAGTTCGGCCGCACTATGGACCAGGAATCCAATTTTTTGGCAAAAAGTCCATTTCAGGTAGAGCCGATAAAACGTTATATATTTGAGATCTGGTGACTTTGAGCTTTACACCAGAAAAATTCTATAACATTGAGGGTCACAATTTACAAATGACGAAAAAGCTCAAAATTACATATTTTTATACCTTACACAACTACGTTGGCAGGGTGTTATAGCTTTGTGCAGCCCCAAGAGATTGTAACGCCGCGAAATATTGGTCCTAGACCCACCTTTAAATATCCCGTCGTCATATCTGGACTAGCTGAGTCGATCTAGACATGTGTGTCCGTCCGTCCGTCTGTCCATTTGCAAACACGATAAAGGTCACAGTTACGGACCAATATTCACGAGATTTGACATGTACGTTGAGTTCTGGCCAATGAAGACCCATATTTTTTGGCTAAAATCGGCTAGTATTTAGGGGGTGAATGCCAATCTTTGTCTGATTTTCTGGTCGCTCCAAAGGCGCAATTATGGCCCGAACATCGAATTTTTACATGGAGAAGGGGATCGGGCCAAAGAAAGGCATGCCTGTTTTGAGAAAGATCGGTCAATATTTAGCGAGTCAAATGTGAAAAATTAAATACAAATTGTATTCTATAGCGTTTATATTTACCCCTGAAGAGTATAGACTCGAGAAGTTGATAGTATATCCAAGAGGAGTGGTTGACCTTTAAAATGATACTAATTATATTGTCATATGTACTCGGATGTGGGAGTTACACATAAATATTTAGAAGTGCTTACGTATTCATATATTATTGAGTAAACCATTACCACACTAGAGATCGGAAATATAGCGCTGATCGCTTTGAAATTTTCCATGAGGATCCAAGTATGGTCAAGGACAACGCATTTATTTTTCGGTGTTCATCAGATAATAATATTGGATGAAGTAGCCCAAAAACTTATTTTTTGTGTTTTTGTCGTGTCGATCTATAGGTCACAATTTAAAGCCGAACATCACAACACAACCCACGGTGAAGGGAATCTGAACAAGTAATTAGAAGGGCTGTACTGAATATTAGTAATATTTGTTGACCTCAAGTCGGTCAAGAGGGTGCAAATATTGCGAAATATTGTCCATGCTCAGGATATAGAACCACAGAATGTTAGATTTTCGTGGAAGTTGTGTAGGGTATCAAATGGTCGGCCCCGTCCGACTATACTGCTCCGCTTACTGGTTGTGAATATTATTTATACTTGAAAAATGTTATATAAAATTGGGATGCGTCAAAATATTAACTGGAAATTACGGTCAATTAAACAGAAAAAATATCAGTAATATAAAGATAATAATAAAAGTTTCGCATATAAAACTCTTAAAAATTATTATTTTTTTTTTTTAAATTTCAGTCTATTTTTTTTTTCATAAACCTACTGCTCTAATTTTGGCCAAAAAATTAAATCTCTGGCCCATAGTGGGTAGGGACAAACTTTTTATAACCGCCACAATGACCTGCTGGACCTTCAGAAATGTCGGGCTATGTACTGGCACATTTATGGTACAAAGATTTGACACCCAATGACCCCCATATGGGCTCTAAACAAAAACGTGGGCCGAAATATTCCATATTCAATATCAAGCATCCTAAATCTATTGCGATTTCAAAAGACTGACAGACAAACATACGGATATGCATAAACAGACATAGAATTTTATTCTGATCAATAATATACATACACCATTGGGTCTATGGGGCTGCAAATGTAATGACAAATGTAATTTTGAATTATTTTTTCATCAATTATAAGCTTGGGTTTTTTAAATATTCAAAAACTAGTTTACATTTTTTTAAAATTTTTCTGGCAATATTTTTTTTTTATCTATCCTTGCGATAGTGAGGATTTTTCTTGTTTCTTGTAGACACTCACAGAGATTACCTTCAAAGCGTCTATAAAAATTCCCTACAAACTATTCTTCATCTCTTGGAAACCGTTCGGGTCGTCTAAAGGCAATCTCTTTAATTCTGAATATAGGTGCAACAAAACTTTGAATCAAACCTTCAAACATAACTACACATGAAAGATATATTTATATAATTTTGTTTTTATATTTTTCATAGTCAAATTTTATTTTTCAATCTCCATATATCATTTTTTTAATATTTCATTTATGCACACTCATTCGTAATTGTAATTGATACGCTATTTATTACATCTCAGGGTTTTGTTGCTGTTGTTTTTTTTCTTATCTGCCTGCCAACCACATTGAGGGCTGACCTAATTTTTGTTTCTGTTGTCAAAGAATATTTCGTTGGCGAAGTAAACAAAACCGACGACTGACTAAACAGTTGCCATTCGCATGCATCTACGCATGCGCAGCAACACCTTTAGTAACCAGACCAGACAGACAGCCGATACCGACTCGTACACACTCGCACAAATAATGGACGACATATAATTGCCGATATTCATTTACATTTGTTTATGGTTAGTCATCGTCATCGCCGTCAGTGTCTATTGTTATGGTTGTTGTTGGTGGTGGAGGTTTATGTTGTTGCTGGTGGCTAAGCCGCGGTGTTGCTGTTGGCTATAATATTTAAGAGTCATCATAGCCACCGCCACTGTTGGAAGACGTCGATGACAACAACGACGAATCATGTGCAATCATTTAAATGTTTGTTTGTTATGTGATGCTTTTAATTGTGGTTTGTGGAGACGTGATCTATAAGATCTCCTTAAGACAAATATACGCTGTATTATCTACATACATGTATGTACAACATGGGATATATTCACCCGTACCTACCTATGTATGTAACATATCTAATTGTAGCCATGGCTAGCATTATTATTTTTTAGGTTGAGGGTATTGTTATTACTGTGACGGTGGATAGTTACTTAATCAAAAAAAATGTTGAACTGTATCAACAATAAAAGAAGTACTGCGTACGTACTGATTGTGTTTAATATCTATTATTCAATTATCAAAAGCGTTCAATTGTTTACGAATATTCATTGTGGAGAGTGGAGTTCAATATGTTATTGTTTTATTATTGTTATGAACTAACCGCAACATACACTCCTGGATTAGAGACAGGCTGATCAAATTCCAAAACAATGACAAGTTCCTGATAATGGGAATATTTCACAATACAAAAACAACATACAATTATGAAACGAAAGGGGGTTTCTATAGACGAGCTAAAGGGAACATCTTTTGACGAGCTTGATGGACATGCTAAAGAGAGACTTATAGATGGGAATTTGAAAATGTAAAAAATCCACACCTAAAGCTAGAATATCCACTAGAACATATCATTAAAAAATCCACTCTTCTAGCTGGGATATCCAGGAAATCCACGCTAATAGTCCGTAATGAAAACCTGCCTATGGTTTGCGGAGGTGTTTGGAATTAAATATAGATTTTGTTATTAGCGATATATAAGAAATATGTTTCAGAGGTTTCAGATTTAATGTTGAACAAATTTTATAAAATATTGACCATTTGTAAGGGTTGTACCGGAAAGAGTGGTCCGGTACAAGTCCGATTTTCGGACTTGATGTAGAGTTGGTAAAGATAATAGGTTGTGCAAGGTTTGGTTCAAATCTGAAATTCCATTCAAATCTGAAAATCCATTATTAAATTAGTTTTAAGTACAATTTTGACCCTTTTGTGGAGGAGGTACCAGAAAGAGTGGACCAATAGGTCCAATCTTTAAACTTGATCTAGGCATGGTAAAGGTAATCGGTTGTGCAAAGGTAATAGGTTGTGGTTCAAATCGGACAAATATTGAAAATGTTGACCCTCTGTGGGGGAGATACCAGAAGGAGTGGACCAATGAGTCCCATCGTCCTACTGGATTTAGGTTTGGTAAAGATAACAGGTTGTATAAAGTTTCGTTAAATTCGGATAGCCCGTTTGCATGTTATTATAAAATTAATGTTTAGCACAATTATGACCATTTTGTGGTGGAGGTACCAGAAAGAGTGGACCTACATACCCCATATTCGAACTTAAACTAAGTTTGGAAACAATATTAAGATGTGCAAATTTTGGTTGAAATCGATTATTTCCTTCGAGAGTTATCGTGCGCACCCGCCAGCCAGACAGACGGACATGGTTAAATCGACTTCAAATTTTCTGAAACACCAATATTTCGATGAGGTACATTTTCACCGTATCATTAGCCATAAGGCTGAGTGTATAAAAATCCAGGCATATATTCTTAAAAATCCATACTATTCTCTGAATAATATTCTAGAGAATATTATTTAAAATAATCTACGTTTTAAGGGATAAGCAGAATGGATACGTTGCGTCATCCGTCATGGACAAGTGATAACACGATAACATCAACGATTGAAGTTGATGTGCCCTGCACTTCGGAGTTGGATGTAGACATATGAAAAACCTATACTGTCCAAGTCTATCTTTTGTCTTCTAATAAACAAAAATTCATCAATACATTAGTTTTCCAACTCCCCCAAGTATGTAACTCTCAGACCAAACGCAAAATCTGTTTGTATGCCTCTCACTCTCTAGGTTTTTAACCGGTTAAGTGACGTCACTTGTGGAGGGGAAATTAATTTTTTTCTCCTTGCGGTACGAACTCACACACATATCCACAAAATGTACGTGCAACATTGAAAGTGAGAGTGAAAAAATGTAATGATTGTTGTTGCCAACCAACAACGATTAGCTGTTTATGTTGTTAACCAGGTCTGAATCAAACAAAGCATCAGGAACAACAACAAGAGAATTTGATCAAAACAATGGTAAGTAAAATCCAAAACTGCAGCAGTCGCAACAAATGCTTAAAAACGAACTCATTTTTGTTGTTGGTTGGATGGTTGATCTCTTCCGAGAGACGGGCCGCAGAGCAAAAGAGTCAAAAACTTGATGATAAACCCCCCCAAAACAGAAACACACACACACAGCAACAAACTGAGGGGGACAATCAAATCGAATATAGATATACGTTGAAAAAGAAGTAGAGGAGGTGGCCATTAAACAAACGCTGAGCCATTGTCAAAAGTAGGTGCAACTATAAAAGCCTGGACTGCAGTGTCAAACTATTGCAGATACCGTTGTTAACGCTTTTAACGAGGACGTCTAAAGAAACACCAACGGCCGGAAATCGAAAACAAGAAAAACGCGTTTGTGTGTAATAGACCAATTTTGTTGGAAATAGTGTATTAACCTTATAAAGGATTTCGAGAGACAAAACTAGTTCAGTGGCTATTGCTTTGAAAGGAAATTAAGAAAATTCGAATTTTAATTAAAAATAAAAAAAAAATTAAAATGCGTGCATTTGTGATAATTGCTACATTGGCCGTGCTCGGCCATGTCGGAGCCCAGCAACATCAGCAAATCGATCCAGCCTATTTACGTCAATACTATCAACAGCTGCAGCAGCAGACCGGAGCTGCTGGTGATGCAACACCAATTTATGAACAAAACTCGGAACAATCACAGCAATATATAACGCCAGGACAACAGTTGCGTGTCAAGGATAATGTGCAAGAACAAGTAATGTCGATTAATATTTGAAAAAAGTTTAAATTTCGTTATATAATTCAAAATATTTTAAAATTAAAGAAAAAAATAATTTGAACATATCTCATAAACGAAATATGAAAATTAAAAAGGATATTGTTTGAATTATTGAATTAATTCAAATTAGAAATACAATGATAAGAAAAAATATTTTGAATTAAAATGTAATGAACAAAATTAAAGTAAAGAATTTAAAATATTATGAATTAAAATTTGTAATCAAAAAAATGTTAAATCAAATAATGTATATTACAATTGAACAATTCAAAATGCGCTATAAAATTTATTTCGAAAGTGATGATTTAAAAACTGATACGAAATATCGAATTACAAGTAAAAGAATTGCTTAAATTTCGAATTGCTTTATTTAAAACTCAAAATAGATTTGTATTTATTTTAAATTTCAAATATACAAGTTTTTAATTTTAATTTAATAATAATTCGGTATTTTAAATGAATGGATACATTCTTAGTTAAAGCATTGAAAATATGAAATTAATTAAATAGAAATTTAAAATAAGAACATTTACAATTTGTAATCAAATTTTATTCAAATTAAATTTGGAATTGTAAATGAAATATTGAAAGTATTTTCAAGTAATTTATTTGAAAATCGAAATAGCCGTATTTAAATATTAATATATTTAATTAATTTATATATATTTAATTTGTTTTGTGTATTTTAGGTCCGCGCCTCTCAACAACAGCACCAGCAACAACAGGGTTATGTTGCTCCTGCCGTCAGAGAATATTTACAACATCAACCTCAGCATCAGCCACAACAGGTAAGACAAGTTTTTTGGCCAGCAAATTAGAAAGAATTTCAGATTTTTAGTTTTGGAAAATATCGAAGCTTTACCATTTTTTATTCGGTTTGCTGCCCAAAAGAAACTAATTGAATGTATTTAGTTCCATAGTTCATTTTGGTTCAATCGTTCATTGGTACACGCCAAATAATTCGGTCAATGAACGAAGACATCTAAATGAACGATGGGATTAAGAGGAACTAAAAAAAGGGGAAAAGAACGACAGGATAAAAGTGAACTAGATGAACGAAATAAACGTACCTAGTACCGAACTTTTCTTTTGCGAACTGGTTCATTCCGAAACGATCCACTTCTACGGATTTTTGTCGGAAAATAAATATGAGGAACTCAGTTCGTCTTCGGACGGCTCACAAGAAGGACTTAAAAAGCTTTCACTTAACTTACCATGTTTTTATATACCGAACTAGACGAAATATAGTTTATCATCGAATACAAATTTGAGCGAAAATTGTTTATAAGAAGATCTCATTTTTATACAACAGCCAGCCAGTCTTATACCTTCTATTTTACCTTTGTATAAACTTTGTAAAGCTCAATACAATGATTTCGAAACTCGTTTAAATAAGTTCTCTTCAGCTTGTGTATACACTTTCTTTGGCTCCTTTGCAAAGATTCGCTCAGCTAGTCCATATAGTCTACATTCAGCTATTCTAATAATTATGTAAACGGGGATATATATAGCTGACACGGATATTCTACGCGAGGTCTACAGTCTTTGTGCACACTAATTTATTAACATAAAAATTGTTGCTTAAGAACTAAGTATGATAATATGACTTAATCTATCTTAGACTACTGTGTAAAAGAAAGAGAGAGAGAGAGAGTGAATACATAACACATGGAGTGGACACATACATTTCTTTATCTCACATCAGTCGGTAGGGTAGTTTACTCCCCATAATCTCACCCAAACATAACACACGTGGCAATATCATATTCTAGTGTACACATATTCAACAAAAGAAATCTCTTATCTTCAGTGGACTGTAGACAAAAATAGATCCCTGTTTAACTAAATATTCGTTCCTTTACACAAGAGGCCCACATCAAGACATTCACTATATTTATTATATGAAAATCCCTGTTTGCTATGTGAAAAAATTATAAGTTTCACATTTCCTTGTTAAAATAGTTTTTTTGCATTTGGGCGCCACTTTATCAATGTTAATTTGTAACTATATAATTTTATAGTTCAAAATTAAGAGTACATTTTTAAAACACTCTTTCCATGGTGTTTCCATTTAAAAACTGGTTTTCTTGCTGGCGCCCATTATCACAACATTTCCTTGTTAAATTTTTTTTTTTGCATTTGGGCGCCACTTAATCAATGTTAATTTGTTCTTTTTTTGCACTTATATAATTTTATAGTTCAACAAAATTAAAAAAAAAGAAAATAAATAGAAAACAGTATCAGTTCCACATTTTTTTAAAATACTTTTTTTTGCATACTTTTCAATGTTAATTTTTTTTTTTTGCAACTATATAATTTTATAGTTCAACATAAATAGTAGATTTTTAAAATACGATATCCATGTTGTTTCCACTTAAAAACTAGTTTACAACACTTTTCCAAGTTGAATTTCAGAGTTAATATTTTTATAGCATATTGAAATTGCAACTACACCAAAGCTATGAAAAAATTAAATATACATTTGGTTTACAAACGGACATTTTAATTTTCGAATAAATATTTCAATTTTCCTGATTGTTAAAAAAAAAATATTGACACATTAATTATTGATTGACACGTTTCAATTGAAGACATTGTAAATATTTTTTGGAATTAAGTGGTTAAACTTGATATTGTAGAAAACATTTTACATTACGCCATATTTTTGGGGGTTTTAAAATGTTTGAAAATTTATTAGCTTTCACACACAGCTCAATTAAATGCTAAGTGGAGGTAATTAGCGTTTGATAAATATCAATATCCTGGTTAAATTGACATTGGCATATTAATTTAAAATATAGTAAAATATGCAGACAAATAAAATTGGCAAATAATTTTATTTTTTGACAATCTTTTTCCTCTATAAAAATTTTTATGAATTTGTCGTAATTCTAATTTATTTTATTAATTTTTGTTCTTCCACGATGCCGTGCATTATTGCAGGACTTAGACAAGAATTTGTAGAGTTGAGTACATGGCACAATAAATAGGTAGTCCATTTAGCACAGTTAGTTCGATTAATTTCAAATCTATTTCCGATCAAAAGGAACATATGAAATATTATAAGGAAAAACTAGGTCAAAAACAAAGGTTTTTGCTTTGATAGCTAACCTTATTTTCATCATGGTTCATTCCTTTAGTTGATGGCCCTGCAGTTGAAATCTGTACCTTCCGAATATTCTACTATACAGAAATTGATTAAAATCATTTTTTTTTTAATTTTTGCTCAAGTTGTTTAGTTTTTCCATCAAAAACCAACCAAAATACGAATGTATGTTATGACAAATTCAATAAGTGTTCAAAAGGGCTTTATCTACACTTGATTCAAATTGACAATAAACGTCCGAATCCATGTCCATGTATTACAAGCAATTTTAATTCAAATTGGAAGCTCGGATTTTTAGAACATTTTCAATGCATGTTCAACATGTTCCGACATATTGTATTTATTTTGAAGGTCTAGCATAAAAAAAACCCCTGAAAAACAATTTTTACTTGTGTGATATTCGATATATCATCCAAAATTTTTACATTACTTTTAATATACGATTTATTAAATTTTTTATCCTTTCTCATTTTTCAGATTCAATACCAGGCGCCACAACAAGTCTATCGTCAGCCACAAGCTGTTGCCCCAGCACCCAGAAGACCACAGGCTGTGCCACAGCAATATCAAGCACCCAGACCCAAGGGCAAGGGACAAGTTGAAGAAGAAGAGGAATATGAAGATGTAAGTAAAAATCCATCCGCAAATTAACTTTTTTCAATTAGAAAATTAAATACTTTCCAAAAGAAACTGACAATACCTCCCAAATTATAACAAGATACTTTCTTTCCATAATCACACTTTTTCCAACTTCCAATTATTATGTGCCAACCAACTTCCTTTCATTCTTTGCCATTCCAATAAGAAAAAACTCCATTGTTTTCCCAATGCAGTCAACATAAATCACAGTTTTTTTTAAGTGGTTGTTTGAACTTAGGCCTGTTTATTAATTTCATTGTTTCCGAAAATTTCTCATAAAACGTTGAGACCAAATAGACTTCCTTTAAATTGAGTTTTTTTCTGTTTTTTGTTATTATCCCGTTCATTGTATGTTAATATTTCTTGGCTGAACTTTATTTCATGTTAAAGGCCAACAATGTTAGTTGTTTTTTTGAGTATGGTTATTTGCCGATTTTGGCCAGTTTGCATTGCATGACGGTAGATGGACAAATGGACGGACGGGTGGAGGAAAAATAGAAAAAACAAAAATACATAAACACAAAAGAAATTTCAAATATTACATGATTTAGTGCCACCGCCACTGCACTTGCGCATAGCCGGATCGTACAGCGATGGCAATATAAGGTCATTAACACCAATTGAAATGTAAGCGAATAAATGAATGAAACTAAAGCAACAACAACAAAACAGTCAACTACGTTACGTCAGGCATGTGCTTTGCAACTTTGATGATGTTACCAGCAGCCATCCAGCCAGCTAGTCAACCTGGCAGTCAGCATTCATGTAATTGCATTGCAACTGGGTTGTCAGACAAGTAGGCAGATTTTAGTCAACAACAACAAAATATTTATCATCAATGAATTTTCAATTATAGCAGAGTTGCCACTTAACGAAAAGGAAAGTTCGTCGGAAAAAGAGTTATGTAATAAAAAACCGTATCGGAAATTATTTTTCCTTTAAAAAAAGTTAATCGGAGATGATATTTCCCTTAGGAAAAAATAATCCTATATCCATTCGTCGACTCTTTATATACAAAGGAGATGTCTTCTCCTGGAGATGATTCACTGGAGATGATTCATGGATGTTATTTTCCAACATTTAAGAAATCATCATAAAGACAATACTTTCCCTCAAATCAAATTCCATGACTAGCCGTATAGTTAGTTCACGAAGCAGATCGATGTTTCTTGTTACTTTTTTTAGAAAGGAACTAGTTCCTTTTCTCCCTATATTTCATGAATCTCTGTCTTTCAGATTTTTTTGTTTACATAGTTTCGAAGTTAATGGAATTGAAAAATGAACTAAAGAACAGGACCTAGTTTCCATCGTTCTTTTTTCGGAATAGTTCCAATGAACATAATCGTTTTGAAATGTTCAAACTCTAGATTTTTTAAATAAAATTTATTCTTCAATGACCCACCAATGGGAGGAGGCTTCTTAGAGTTCAAATTAAGCGCATTCCACTCTATGAAAACTTCGATTTGGCTAAAATGTTCGACGTTGTAGATATATCTGATACTAAGATCCTTCTTAGCCACAATGAAATTCTTCAAATTTAAGATTAAGATTAAAATATTACTAGAGTTGTATCTTCGGAAACACAACATTTTCTTTCGATTTAGACTTAATCCACCGAAACAAGGACAGAAGCCAAAACCACAAACCAACATTTTCGAGATTAGGTTCCCATTTGATGATGTATTTACAAAGTGTTTCCCTGTACCTATTAAGATTTCTTTCCACAGGTCCGCCTAACATTTTCTAGCCATGCTGCCAAGATCCTTCTTAAATAAAATGTGAATCATAGCTATTTGCTTATTTTCTTGACCTTCAACAGCACATAACCCACATAAGGACAGAAGCCAACTTCGACTTTGTATTTGGACATTTTTGAAAATGTTCTTTGAATACTTGGGTTTAAGTGCATAGGCTTTTCCAGTTACAAGATTGATATTTCACTTTATATAGTATTTGTGATGTGTTTCCATCTACGCATTCAGTTTTCTTCTCATCCGTTGTTTTGACGTTCTGTCTTTGAATATTTATATACGAAAGATAATCAAAGGTGGCGATTTTCATAGAGGAGACGGCGTATATTTTCTGTAGAAAATACAATTGAAGAACTTTACTTAGATCAAACCATAGTCAAGGATTTTTCGTGATTATAGTCGAATACACAATGTAATTTTGGACTTTCAGTTTTTTTTTATCGATTTCTAAGTGACGATTTCAGATTCTTCTGACTGTTCAACAGCCATGAATATTTGTGTACAATGTACAATAAATAGGTACTCCATCTGACTAGTAGATTAACTGTCAAAGTGCAGAATTTCTTCTTGAAGTCTACGTGCAATGTTGCCAACATTGAGAAATATTACTACATAAAATTTCACGGATAAAAAACAGATGTTTTTGTTTTGATACATCATCTTATTATTCCATCATGTTTTCATGGTTGGCCACACTGTCAAACAAGCAATATGTGGGAAAGAGTCTCATTCTAAAGTGATAGTGTGTAGACCGCCTAACTTTCCTCTTGGATAAGTCCATGGCACAATAAATAGGTAGTCCATATAGCGCTGCTGATGTCTCGATTAATTGTCAAAATGCATAGTGCAATGTTGCCAACCATGTGAAATATTATAAGGAAACATTTGACACATCGTCGTGGGACAAAAACAAAGGTTTTTGTTTTGATACATCACCTTATTATTGCATCATGGATATGTCCATGGCACAACAAAAAGGTACTCCACTTAGCTCAGCTGACTATGCAATTAACTGTTAAAGTGCATAGTTTCCATGGCACAATGAATAGGTAGTCCATTTAGCGCAGCTGATGTCTTGATTAACTGTCAAAGTGGGCAATTTCTACTTGAATTCGTTGTGCAGTGTTGCCAACCATTTGAAATATTATATGGAAAAATTTGACAGATAATCAAGACAAAAACAAAGGTTGTTGTTGTGATACATCACCTTATTATTGCATCATGATAGTTTCTATTTGAATTCGACGTGGAATGTTGCCAACCATGAGAAATATTTCTAGATGAAACTTGACAGATGATCGATAAAAACAGCATTTTTGTTTTGATACACCACCTTATTATTGCGTCATCGTCGATCAATTTATCCATAAGAGAAGTCTTCTTTGAACTTCTCCAAAATAAAGTTGGCAATCCCAATCCTTGTTGACTACAAACAAGGCAACAACAATAAATCAGATGCTGTTTGTTGCAAACGTTTCGTTTCATTGCATGTTGTTGTTTTAGCTTTCTTCATTGTTGTTTTTGTTAGTCTTCCGTACGGAAATGCATATTGATTGGTTATACATTTTCATGCAATGTGTGTACGGATATTCGGGTGTGTGAATATGTTTGCATGGATACAATTTTAATGGGAAAACGATCAAACACGAAATGGTTTTTTATTTGGCCTTTGTTTTTCGTTATATTTTTGTTATTGCTTCCTTTCCACTTTTCATTTGCTTGTCTGCATGAATAACCAGTTGTTGGTCAAATTGAAATGTGACAACGTTAGCACTCTTGTTGATTGAACAGTGGGGTTAAAAAAGAATAAGGATAATGAAGTAGATGAGACTAACAGGGTCCAATGTATGCTACGAAACATCATTTTTTGTCGAATTGGGCAAATTCGAGTGGTATTTGCCTATTTTCTTGACCTTCGACAGCATAGGACAGTACCATAGCACTTCATTTTGCCTGAAATTTCAAAATCACATTACACTTGTCCAGGTATTATCATCAGCATACGTTAAAAGTTGTCATTCTCCAGCTGTGATCCAGGAGGCTGAAATTCATACACATTAGTTCGCATTATGCGCCTATTTTCTTGTCTTCGACAGCTCTAACTCATATAATGATAAAAGTCAAGGTTGTGCTGAATGATTCCAAGATAGTGTCTCACACTTCTCCACTCTCAATAAGTGATTCAAAGGAACTATTCCGTAAAAGGAACGATCGGCACTAGCTCCGGTTCTTTCCTATATATGGTTCCGATTAACTGTCAAAATGGGTAATTTCTACTTGAATTCGATGTGCAATGTTGCCAACCATGTGAAATATTATAAGGACAAATTTGACAGAAGTTCGAGACAAAAACAAAGTTTTTTTTGATACATCACCTTATTACTGCATCATGGCTGTGCTAAACGGACTACTTATTTATTGTATTCATAATCCAATTAACTGACGTGTACCAATGAACGATTGAACTATGTAACTAAATGAATTTCCCTAGTTCCCTTTGCAGAACTGACCGAAAATGCATTATTTGATCTTTCGAGAACGAGGAAATTCATTTAGTCTCAAAATACCTTTTAACTCAAACGTTCGCCGTACCCCTTACGACTTTTGCCGGCCAACGCGAAATCCATTTTCAATAAAAATCCTAATTTCCAATACAATATTTTACAATAATTATTTTTGAAAATAAAATTGTTTGACAATTTGTCAAACAATAAAAATACCTTCAAAAACTTCCAAAGAATTTGAAAATCATTTCGTTGTGAATGACAATCAAAAAATTGTAATTATGTTTGACAGAATCCATTCATTGGTGGTAATTGAACCGAAAACATGCAAACCATGAGATTGAGATTACATTTCCGAAACTATGTAAATATGAGACTAAGAAACTTCACTCGACAACTTAATTTGTATTCAATGAACAGTGTAAAATATTCTATCACATCATGTTAAACTGAGGAGGTATTGTTATGATGTTTTTGGGCTGCACCCAATGGTGGTATGCCAAACTGACAAGAACAACTACCTTAACCCAGTTTAGAGGAGAGCAAGCAAGCGAGAGTTTTGAATGCTGTTTCTTGCAACAAGAAAAAACTCCAACAATGTAGGCTCATAGAATAACCATTCGTTCGGCCTTCTGATCGTACTTTTGGTTGGTGGGGCCTACCATCTAATTCTGGCGGTGGTTTCTCGTTCTCTTGCATGTTCATCGGCATGCTGTATTTCCATTCATCC